CTTCTCCTCCCTCCAGTCTGTCATGTGAGAGCTCTCCCTTTCCTTTTCAAGCACTTTTTTGTGATGTCCAGAGACTCCTTTTCCTGACAGATTTATTGCACACTAAAGAGGAGATGGAGTGTGGGAAAGTGTGGTTAAGGATGAGTGAACGCCTGATGCGCTGTTGGATTACAGAGGCCTGGCAGGCTGGCAGGCGCGCACACACACACACACACCTACCTCACACTTAACTGAGAACAAAGTGGAGGAAGGAGAGGTAAAGTTTTAGGATGGCTGTGCGTCAGTGAGTCTGCCCTCACTGAGGTGAGACGGACAGTTCCCCGCCCGTTTCCTCCACTTTCTCATGATGCATTTTTGTGTATGAGCTAAGCATATACATCCATTCACCATAAGTGCCAACCAAGTGATGTCCCACTTTAAAATAGGGGTTAGATAAGTCCATCATTTTGGCACATTTGCTCCAATTCAGTGTAAGCATACAGAGGGACAGACTCCCAGTGATGTCTATCTAATAGATTAGCATATACTGACCCAGTTTGAGGATGACAGGTGTTATGTGTCTTACATACACCGCCCTTAAGGTGCAAATGCACTGCCAGCTCCCTTTCACCAAGAGGTCAAAGGAGAGAAAAGGGGGAGGGGAATCAGGGACGGACAGAATTAGATCAATGACTTTTGAGATATGGAAGAAAACTGGAGCGAGGAGGAAGGTGAGCAAACTGTGTCTGATTTGAAATGCAGGTGTCCAAATTGAATCGTCCTCTCCAGAGTGGAAACCAATTGGCTCACTGATGTAGTGATTCCTTCCTCTGATTATATCCGTTTTCCTATTACCTCACAACAAGGCGAGTGAGTCGTGCACAAACTGCCGTCAGTCTGTCCCTATAGTCCTGCAGCTCTCTTTCTCTGCTTAGGAAAAACAGGCTGAGCATACAGGAATATTGAGACTGTAATACAATCTGTGTTTTTTTGTTAGAGCAATTTCACTCGAATACATCAACAAACTTTGTGGACACTGAGGACGCACTCACATCAGACATCCCATCTGCATAGGGCAAGCGCGCAAAGTAGTGAGCAAGCTGCCTGGTCAACAATTAACCACCAACCCAACCATCCATGGAGAAGTCAGCTTAACAGTCTCCACGGCAACCTGCCACCACAATGGTGTGTGTAAAGACAGAAAGGAAGGATTAGTGTTGTTAGCACGAGGAGGGAGGAAGGAAGGAGTAGAAAGGGAGAACAGGAGGGAGGAGATAAAACACAATGAGAGGGAGTCAAATAGGGTTCATTTGCAAAAAGGGAGGGGAAGCATGCAAGCCGTGTTTTTACGTGTGTGTGTCTATGTGTGAAACACCTCATCTGCACCGGTCTAACTTGTTAAGGTGTTAATGGGTTTGGATCAGCGTGTTGTCATTAGGCTTGCTCGGTTACTTTTGCGTGATGAGGCTTGTTTTGATGAAGAGGAAGAGAAGAATGGAGGACATTATGCGGCAGGAACCCCACTGCACTGTGAAGAGACTTTAGAGAAACGGGGGTATATGCCAACTGATCAAAATCACATCGCAGTAGGGTTTGCTTCCAAGCGTCTCCTGGTCAGAGAGGACTGTGTTAAGGCGGGGGATTAAGAGAATGGACGGTGAGGACAAAGTATGAGGAGACTTATCTTTTACCAGCGAGTCAGAAATTGAGTGTAAGCAGGAGGGAGACGAAGGGAAAGATCAGGAAAACCAGGAAGTGAATGCTCTTCGATTGGCAGTAAGAAGATGCACAGAGGCAGGATCTGGGAATAGGGTGAGGGTGGTGGTGGTGGGGGGGGGGGGGGGGGGGGTTGCCATCTCAAAGCATACATATTGATGTTTGGGTCCTTCGCTTTATTCCAGCATGGAAATGTGAGCCTCGTGCCTGATGTGACTCACTGATCTCTCGCGTGCATTCTCTCACAACACAAGCTCTTTGAACTTTCATTGCTTCAAAACTCAACGGATACCGGCTGCATCAACCGGAGGAAGATATGAATGTTTGAAAGGCGAGATGAATATCACAATGATTGATGCACGAGCAGTTTATCATTTGATATCAACAATGAAACAGAAGAAAGGCAAACAAAGAGTGAGGGACTATTCACAATCTGTGATTAGTCTAGAACCTTGTTAAAGGTTTTTTCCATAATTCTGCTTAAGGACTGTATGGGAGTGCTAGTGTGTGTGCGCCCTCAGATTGAAGGAGGAACGTCATGGGAGTGTGAATATTATGGCTTGAAACGGCAGTGTGAAGAGGGCTATAATCAGCAGCACTAGCTATTATTCCTTGAAGGTAAAAGGTGTTTAAATTAGATTTTTCTTTTTTTAGATTTTTTTGGGGGCTTTTTGGCCTTTAATGGAGAGTTAGGACAGTGGATAGAGTCGGAAATCAGGGAGAGAGAATAGGGAATGAAATGCGGGAAAGGAGCCACAGGTGGGATTCGAACCTGGGCCGCCCGCTTGGAGGACCAGCCTCCATACATGGGGTGCGCGCACAAACCAATGTGCAACCAGCTCCCCTAAATTTGTGATTGAGAAAAAAAACATTGCTTAATATAATTTTTTTTTTGGTTTAAAAGTTGTCTAGAGTTTCTCTAGGACACATTTTGCTGCCCCACTTGCTTCCAAGTGCAAGACAGAATCTTTTTATATTGTACCATTTTGCATGCAAGAATATGAGAAATTGAGTGTTGAGCTGATGCACATCTAAATTATGAGCATTTAAGCTGCTTAACACACACACACAAACACACACACACACCTAACCTGACGCTTCCCACTAAGCAAGACCAGACGCTGAGCTCAGAGGCACACTGGGACATCTTCCAGAATCCTCCTCTACTGGCTGCTGTCCTCCAGCCCACAAACACACACACACACACACACACACACACACACACACACACGGACACACACACAAACACATATGGCTCGCAGCCACGGACATGGTGTCCATGCCTCACTGTCGGCGCCGCCTCCAGCCTGCTTTACGTCTTTGTGCATCATTCAGACTGGAGCGGGAGGGAGGATAGAGGGCTATTACACAATCGTTAGGGGCAGACTGGATGGAGATGACTACTAGCTGGAACGATGACATTTAACAAAAAAAAAAAAGAGGAGTAGGGCAGAGAGAAGCATCGAGAGAGGGGACGCGAGGACACTGGTTGGGAAACAGATATTCTATTTATACCAGAGAATTGAATACAGTGTTCTTGTTTGCCCTCCGACAATGTGGAAGTTTGAGAAAGACTTTCTGAGGACTTGAGAGAGAGAGTGCTAAAAAGCGATAGAAGGAATCAGACTGGAAATAGTACACCACGGGCATGTTTAAGCTGCTTCCTATTGGTAAACAAAGCCGCAGTCCTTCTCATCGGGGGCTTTTTATAGATCAGTGCAGACAGAAATTGAGCACATCATATCCATAGTCGGTGCTCTCTGAAGAAAAAATGACAAATCTGCTGGTAAAGCCGTCTCAGTCTCGCCTGAAGCGTTAAATCCTGAGTGTGTTTGAAGAGCAAAGACAGAAGTATTTACCAGGATGTAGCTTTTAAAGATTCCTTAAGTGTCACACATATTATTCAGTAATTGAACATATACCGATGAGTTGTAGGATTGTCACAACTGACTGCTCTCGGTCGATCTTCAAATCATCATTTTGTCATATAACCACGAGAAAGATAACCGACCACAGACCACAGTGGGTGACTACTCGTCTCTCCTGGATCCCATCTTTTTGTGTCTCTTTCCATCCCTCGGGTCCTTCCCTGGTTTTTGTCACTCAAACTTGAAACAGCACACATCCCACCCTGGGCCTTTGCAGCTTTAATGAGCACATCTAAATATAAAGCTTATCCAGAGTTTCATACATAAACATAACATTTCTTCTCCGATAGATTACCCACACCACATCCACGTCTCCACATTCCTGAAGTGAAGCAGATGCTGACAGTGGTGCTAAAACAGGCACTAATCTTCATATTCCAAAGATGATTAAGTAAATGAGGCTTTGACTTCTTGACATTTGGTGAAATTATTACACTTCTATATAAAACTCACAAAATTTGCGTGCAGATTTACTATCAGTCACACTTAACACGCTTTCAGAAAACAAGTCAAAATATCTTTAAAAAGCTGCCGACCGATTGTAAAAAGGAACAAGTGCGACAAACTTAGACTGTCGGATCAAACATTCATTTAAAGGACCAATCAGTAAGATGTGTAGTGAGTGAAATGATAAAGTGATCTTACTATATGATCAGACATTAAGGAAACATGCTATGTTGAAGTGCTGGCTTCTCTGACAACAATGCAGCAGCCAGTATCTCCCCCTTCTAACTTTAGATTCTGGTCCTGAATGCTCTGGATTTGTTTGGACCAGAGAAGGTAGGCGGCTCTAAGGCACCCCCACACGGCTGTTTGGACGCCCCTTGATTTGCCAGATATGAGAGCAGTTATCAAGTCAAACCAACAGGTGTTGTAGCGATGGAAGCGGGCAAGAGAACTGGTTCAGATAGAAGTGATTGTACCCGACCTAAAAAGCCTCTGCATGTTTCTAATAAGCTCCACGAGCAGAAACGTGCTCAAACTAGGATCAATATTGGAGATGCTTTTGAAAAATGGAGAGAGGTTAGAACACAGAAAGGTTTACAGACCGATGCAGAGCTGGATAAACACTGAAGCTTCAGTGTCCACCACATGGCAACCTGTGTGAGCATCGACTCTAGAGAGGATGGGGCGGGGGGAGGCCAAGCTCTACAGTGTTTTGAATTTGGACTGCAGTACCCATTTTAAACACTAGGTGTCCAATTGTTTTTGGGGGGGAACACATTGATGACTACTAGCTTAGCTTTTTCTAGGCTATCAGGTGGAAAAACACCATTCACCTTGTATGTTTTGTTTTGCTTCATACTGCTATTTAACAATGTTTGAATCATTTCAAAGCTCCAAAAGAGAGAAAAGTATTGTGTGCGTGCTACTTACGATCTAGTCCGTTGACGTAGCGAATCGATACCTCACAGTGCCCCCACACGGCACTGACGATGGGATACAGCCTCTTTCCTTTCAGCCCTCTAAAAGCTACTCCCAGATACTGTCCGTCTACCATGAAGCTCAGAGTCCCTTCGTCCATGTCTAGTATAACTGCCAGCGAGTCTGGGAGCACAAACGACTCATCTGGCTCCAGGAAACAGGGGTATGTGGGTGCAGATGTGGAAACTGGGCGGTTCTTTCCATCGTGATAGAGTCTGTTTCGACCCAGGTCCCAGCCCCAAGACTCAGAGTCCGAGCCCACTAGTGCCGTGTAGCCCACTGAGTGTAATGGTGCTTCAGCTGTGCCCACGCCCACGACCGCATGTGTGCCTCGCTGTCTGGCCGGCCAGTGAATTCTCCAAACGTGGAGGCCCCTGGTGTAGCCCACCTTCCCGCGGATACAGTCTGTGCTCTGCGCCACTGGGTGTCTGTGAAACGTTAGCTTGTCGTCCTCCTTAACAAAGACATTGAGTGACCGGTCGTCAGGGTTCCAGGCGTGGCGGAGCTGCGTCTCTGGGCTGGCAGACGGCATGTCCAACAGCAAGTCCAACCTGGGGGGCCGACAGAAATCAGGACCCCGCAGTTCGCGGCGTACTGGGCGATAAGAGGGCTCCCCACGTACATCCACTGATTTGATACTGCCAGAGATCTTCTGGCCCATGGTTGGTGGGTCCGAGGGAGGAAGGGACAGAGGGGAGGGAGATGGATGGACCGAGGGTGGTAATGAGGGGGGCGCAGGTCCTGAGGTTACCTCATGGGCGCAGTGGCGACTCAGTGGACCCTGGGTGGTAAGATTCTGTAGGACACGTCTTCAGCCAGGAGGAACCACGCTCCTAAACACACAGAAAATAAAAGCATGATTTTACTTGCAGACTCAAAGTGTTCAACACACTTTATACTTCACACAACACTTTAGAGACGTAAGGGCCACACGAGCTACCGATTTTCATTAAGAGCTTTCACGCCTGCAGAAAACTCCTGAAACTCTGATATGTTTAAACGCACACAGACACATTTTTCATTCGGTCTTTACCCGGACTTTCTTCTGCCAGACCCCTTTTTGCAACAGAAAGTCAGAGTGAGCTAATGTGAGAACGCAGCAGGATATAATCAGGAGAATTCACTTTGAGCGAGTAGTGACGTTTACAACTTAAGATCGGTGCTTGGACTGTCTGCAGGCGTCGGCTGCAATCTCTGTGCAGGTAATTAAAGGACTGCATACACAAGAAATAAATGTAAAAATAGCTATACATACAGGTTGGGAATGATGTGGAAATGACAATGATTAAATCTAAATATTAAGGTTAAAGTCCAATGATACGAAAAAAGTCTGATTGCCAAATATTAATGAAGTTAAAACTGTAACTTCATCCATTTATTATGGCGTCTCGAGTCCAAAAACCATGATAAATAAAAGAGTTGCTTCTCATAAACATCAAGCACAGACAGCAGCAGAAACAGAGGCAGAGTTCACAGTAAGGGGGTCGGTTCCCCTGAAATGGACACCAGCTCCCCAAGACGTTTACGTCTGATAACTTTTAAGTGATATTCTATTTTCCATACATTAAGGTTCCTGGAATGAAAAATATTTAAAAGTTTTGTGTTTATCTACATATTGCAGTCCATTTTTCCAGACATCTGTCTCCACTAATCAACACAATCCTGTGTCCATTCCTACTGTGGCTGCGAATTACTAGATTAACGCGACCACCTGAGCGCCTCGTCATTGAGTTGGCGCAGTATTGGAATGGACTGTAGTGAGAGGGAGAGGCGGCGGTCTAATGTCGTGGTGCACACCGGGGGAAATAGGGCTCCCCCAGAAAATCGGTGTGTAATTCGAACCCTGGGCAGAGGTATGGCATCAATGAGTCTGGCTTCCCTCCAGAGCTGCAGAGAGAAGGGGAAAAGACAGAGAAGAGGAAATGAAGGACAAACTTCTCCTCACTCAGGAGAACTATTTCGTGTCTTCAGTTGAAAGTCTGGAGTGTGCACAAACACACATCTGAGATCCCCTGAGTGAGAATGAATCTTAATCTTTTTGTTTTTTAACTTGTTGAAACCGTCACAGTCATTTACAAAGAGATCACAGCGGGCTTCACATGTGAGCTAGCTCTCTGTGAAATGATGATAGTGCCACTGACGGCCAACAATCTGTGATGATGAGATCTATCAACATTACACAGTAATAACAGATTTGTCTTCGTCACAGACCGCCCAATCAGCCATTTGTTTTGTAACAGACAGCTGTTGACTACCCTCTCTCTATCTCTGCAGCTCTGGAGGGAGGCCAGCACCGTTGATGCCATACCTCTATGCATCACATTTGCCCATTTCTACGGTGAAGCGTTGCACATTTGACAACAGGATTTGAGGTGAGCAGCCATTTTGGATACGTTCTATCTAGCAATCCTCCAATAATGAACAATGAACACAGACTGAGATGGGATCTGCAGAAACGTCATGACTTCAACTGAATACATTCATATAGTATGAACTCTACCGTACAAATGTGATGCAATCACGAAACATAACTGGAACGTGCTGAGATGGCCCTAAGCTACTCCAAACCCATGGGGAGAGTTTCCGTGAATGTTGGAAAGCAAAGAAGCAGTTTAAAATGTATAGTACCGACCTTCTCCCTCCAGCTCTCTTTTCTATATGCAACCCCTCCGATGTTTTGTCTCCCTCCCCTATAGTTTCTCGGGAAAAGACTCCACATGGTTCTTCCAGGGAAAGTACAGTACAAGTACAGTAAACTGGGTCTGACCCACCAGCGGAAGAGAGACAGGGTGCTTAAAAATGCAGAGCTAAAGGAATCAAAACAGATAGGATTTGTACATTTTGAACTTAGAAAATACAATTTGTTAAAAGTTTCAAAGTTGCAGGCAGCCACATTCAGACAAAGTCTGTACGACATTAAAGAACATGGCACAAGAATAACAGATGAATATTATTTGATGCACTGCCCGACGCTGCAGGTAGGAAATGCTCGCTCTGGCTGCAGTGTTCAGTCCACAACAGCAGGGGTTAGTTGGGCTTGACATGCCGAGACAGCTTGTGCACCACGCATATCCTGTGTGGCCTCTGAGCCTGTAATCCATTACCCTGAAGACAAAAGTTTTGTGGAGAGGACGAACAAACTAACTCTGAAATTGTGGACAGTTGGGTTAAGGGGCTAACATGCATGCTACATATCTTTATTCTAATACTGAATAGCATCGTACGTTGCAGATATTCACAAATCCTTACCAAGCCTGCTGATATTTCCTTAAGACATTACATGCATCCCTGTGTATATTCATTCTGTTCCAAGTCTCATTATCAAACTTATTGAAGACACACAGTGTCTCAGTTCCCATATGATGCTAAATCCACTTAACCATGTTCCTCTAACTCTAATATGTGTCCCTAGTCTCCTTACAAATCCCCCAATTTTGAGAAAAGTCCATCCTCTCCGTCTTTTGCCTGCTCCACATTTCAGAAAATGTGTGCTCAAACAGGCCGTTTGGAGGTTTCCCTTCATGACATCACAAAGGGCAGTAGCCCCTCCCCCAGGTGGGTGACGTGATCAAATACAGGATCAGAGTGGATTTAGAACAAGAAACTTCACACATGTTTTGGGGAGCTCTGAGACTTATTTAAACTGGTTGAAGAGGAGGAGGATATGTGACCTTTAAGTAATAATTCCTTCTGAGCCCTGAAACTGTACGACTATTCTGACGCCATAAAAAGTAAAAAACATTTAGGTGTTTAAAATGCTATCATAAACATGTGCCAACAAATCACTTTGACAACCAGCCAAAGAGGAACACCTTTGGTTGGCACTGGTTTGAATGTCATAAAGTAAACAGACTCTGAATTGTTGAGGTGAGAGGGGACTTGAGTTCAACATAGAAATCTAATGAATGCCAACGTGATAAATGGGCAATAATGCACAAGGCCGAGGACACAACATACACACACCTGCTGCCAGAAGAAGTCATTTACAGAACACTACCTCCTCCTGACCAAAAGCCATGAAGAGTGACAAGCGCTGCATTTCCATATTAATGAACTTACACCAGCAGGCTTGACGCACAAGGCCGTTTAGTGACAAATGACAGGAATGTTTATCACACCGTCTTAAGCAGTCATTGGCAGAGACTAATCACAGAGGCTATCGAGCACTCTGATGACATTTTCTAACTTGTATGTGCAACATACATGACAAATATGAGGCTGTTCACGTGCAGACACTCTGCTGGAGATTGTTCACGCGGGATCAAACGATTAGGAGGCAGGGAGGAGTGATTCATGGGGATCAGAGAGGGAAAAGTATGAGAGAGTCACTTGTGTTGTAGATCCGCCCAGCAGATTCATATTGGATAATACATTTCAAATTGAAAAAAAAAATGACGTAAACAGATGTCTGCAGCCGCCAAGCCAAGAACACACACTTCCAAATTTGGAGTCAGTCAATCTGGTATAACGTATCCAAGCACTTATAGCCCGCTCTTATATAGCTGTAGTCCAACTGTATGATTACTTTCACAGTTTTACATAATGTGTGAGTGTGTTAGGCTTGTTTATAGTTTCAGGAAACCAAATGTTCCACACTTTGCCTCGGTATCACGCAAGATTAAAATATCACAGCAGAATTTCAAAGGACATAACTGGTTTGAAAAAGCGGCAACCTCCAGTGTAGAAAAATGAAGCCGATGAGGAAGTGTAAAACCCTGCAGTTCCTCGAGTGTCCACTAGAGGCTGGCTGCAGAAGCACAGAAAGTCACAAACACACCCATTCTTAAAAGCCTGTTTTTACAGCAGAGATTAACATATTTATAGCCTGGTTCAAAAAACCAAATAGTTCTGATTAGCTCATGTCTCGATCGACACACACTGTACGGGGGATGAATGTTTTGATGACTCATCCGTTTTGATTTGATGAAGGATAAGAGTTATTCACAATAAGCCGTGTAGCTGACCTTATTGACAGGTGGGCGCGGTGTAACGGTTTGTCAAGAGACTTAAAACCTGCCTCAGCTCCAGCTCTCAGCCTGTCGTTAGGTTGACTGAAAGTTAGACTGAGACAGTATTTCCAGCATTGAGACCGCCATCGATGGGACTCCAGTGCCCCCTGCAGGAACAGATGGGTGACGTCACTCAGGCTTCAAACATTCATATTTACAGTCTATGGTTTTAAATAAGGGACAAACATGAGATTGGTCAATTCTGGCTGCATTCGTTATTGCAGATTACAAATTGTGTTTTGAGGAGGAAGAAAGAGAGGCAGAGGATCAATCCCAACAGCCTGTCTTTAAAAAAAAAAAAAAAAGAAGAAACTGTTTTTTGAAGCCGTCCACATGGAGCTGCTGACATGATAAAGACACTTCCAGCTGGTGTTCATCAAACAAGAAATCAACTTCACCCTAGTTCTTGACCAGCAGGACTTTGTGCACCCTCCGAGGCAAACAGCCTTTACACACACACACACACACACACACACAACTGATGTAACTGACTGAACCCGTCATCTGCAACATCGTCAGACAGGACAAACATTGGGACACACACGGTCTGATATAAGCATTGCATCTTCATCCTGATATTGGGACACAGTGGTTCATAAATGAGAAATGAACCATCAGTTGGTGTTAAGATCATTTCAGCACTCTTAAAAAATTTAAAACAGACAGATACCCATCAGTGAGCATCTGGATATCTCATACACCTACACAACAGACTGTTTATCCACGCCTGCTATCATGTCAACAACTGCATTCTAGCTTGTTATAGGGATGCAACAGTCCTAACATTTTCTATGAGCTTAAAAAACTTAGGAGGAAGTTGCCCT